AAAAAAAAAAGGGGGGTGGGGGGGGAGGAGGGGGGTTATCTTGCTCTATGAAGCTACGAAGGAAGGTGTCATACTATATATACTTCTTACTTCTTACTTCTTGCTCTTGCGACTTGTATTGCATTGTGTTGAGTTGGTTTTCTTGTTTTTTGTTTTTGTAGGGATGTGGGAGGTGGTGTGGTGTGGTGTGGTGTCTATGGTACTCGAGTAGGGAGATTGATTTTGCTAGGGCTTTTGTTTTGTTTTGTTTTGTTGTGTTGTGTTGTGTAGGGAGGGAATGTGTAAATGGCTTGAAAGGTTGAAAGGTTGAAAGGTTGAAAGGTTGGGAAGATTTGATGAGGATTTGAGAAGAATTGAGAAGAGTTGAGAAGAATTGAGATGGAAGTTAGGAATTATTTATTAGAACGTGGTTTGTAGGGTGATGGGGTGGTAGTGCGTGGGGTGTAGGTGATGGGATGGATGGGGATGTCGTTTTGCTCCCGTTAGGACACAGTGTGGAATGGAATAAGCATACGAGTAAGGAGAAAAGCTAGGTAACTAAGGGAGGGGAGTAGGTAGGGAGTCTTTGTCTTTATAAGACGAGCCTGATTGTGTGGAAGCTGATACTGTGGAATACTAGGTGACCGACATAATAGGTCAGGTAGTAGAGAGAGACAGGAGTAAAGGGGTCTCGGCTGCTCTTAGCTAAGACCATGTCGTAACACAATCACTCTCAAAGATGGGGACTTAATTAGTCAGAATCATATTGACAACATAATTAATTCCATGGAGGACAGGATTCACGCATGTATTGAAGCCAAGGGTGGGCATACCCGGGTGCCAGCCAAAGAGGGGGGGAACCGGGGGGGAAGGGGGGCTATATTTGTCTTGTCTTTATACTAGTACTGTTTCTGTAATCTTACCAACTTAGTTTACTCTTTTTAGACCCAGAGAATGCGTTGATTTATAACTTGAACACTCTCAATTTCACTTAGCAACGCTCTAGTAATAGTATAAAAGTTGTAAAATATACAAATCTAATAATAAGTGACCGCACTTGCGTATTTGGCCCTACCTATAATACTTGAATATAGGGTGGGTGGCGGGGGTGGAGATGCGAACTATCCAGACCCTTTACTGTGGTGATTGTAGGAAGAGAATGAAGTAGTATTTCATTTATAGTTTCCTGATATCTGTTTGGATGTCTTTGTTTTTTTGGGGATGAAATTTGAAGAGAATGGGTTTGTGGTTTGCATAGAAGGGGGGGAATGAGATTAGACTGTCGGATGGGGTAGTGAGATTGAGTTATAGAATGGGATGGATAGATGGGATAAAATAAGCTATATATCTTTTCATGTACAGTACGAGCTGTCTTTTTCTTTAGTTCTGGTTATTTTATATGTGTTAGGTTGTATAGTATATCTATACTGATGGAAAAGAATCAAATACTGCTAGGCAGGAGGTATTGAGATGGCGCGTGGTATCACACGCTGGAGGTGCCGGGCGTGTTGGAGTATTCACGTGATGTTCGTCGTGATCTGGGATTTTGTAAAGGTGGAACTTGGAAGCGTAGCTACATCCTTCTATTCATTAAGTGATTTAGACGTAACCGACCAAGGTCCAACTCCTTCACTCTCACAGACTACTTACGAGTACTGAGGGATACCAACGGTGTGAGTTTGAGAAAGAGCAAACAGACATAGTATCGCGTACAAAACGGCAGTTAGAGTAGGTTGAAAACGCTTCAAGGAGCTTGGAATTAGATGTGAAAGTTCCACTATACCTATATACAGTTAAAATGGGTGATCGTAACAACACACAGACATGACTCTAGGCCCTATATTCAGTTGTAATACATAGGTAGATAGAAAAAGTAGAAATGAATGCCAACGTATCTTACACAAGAGGAGATTGATGAGTTGGGCATCGGGGTTATTAATGATGATTAGGAGGGGTCTCCGAGAAAACCTATGTCAGATTTGATGACTTTCGTAGTTTTGTCTGATTATCCCGGTTATCGGCAGTAAATATTGGGATTTGATGCGCGCCGAAAGATAATACGGAGACAGAAACACTCATGTCGAAACTGAAGAAGAGATTCCAAACCTCAACACTCGGATTGTGTTGTGACGATCATCATCATCATTGAATCGGCAAATCGGACATCAACGAAAAATGTCGCAATGTTACGATGGATATTCGCATTAGCATCGGGTCCTAGCCACATTTGTTGCTTTCTAAATATAGTACTCGACCCCGCTTACAGCAAGAGAGCGAGGAGGCTGGTGGAAGTAAGAAAAGGCGGAATAAGCGAGGTAAACACGTGTGTCGACCATTCAGCCTTCAGGGAAAACTGACGAATCGCAGTCTTCGAATCCCTCGGTTCTGCACAAGGGGTGAAAGACCTTGTACACAACCCGGTACGCAATAGCCGCCCATAACACGTTTTCTGGTCAACCCCCTCTTCATTTTATCGGATTCGCAAAGCGATATTATCTTTTCTATCACAGGATACTCTTTATTGGTATCGGCATCACAAACCGATATCTAATCGATAGTATCCCCATTCCTTCGAAGCAATATCACCTTTTACATATCGACTTAACTGGAAGATTTCAGTCCTCGGTGGTGAGATCGTTGGTGATGTGTGCGATTGCGGGGTAGATCCGATTTTAAGGTCTTGGTTGTGCGTGGCTTTTCCCGGGGGTAGACATGCGTTCCTGGTCCGGTCATTGATGTTGGCGAGGAAAAAAGTTTGTTTGGAAGTCTACAGGGTTGGATTGTAATGTCGTCACTGGGGAAGGAGATCAGATCAGATTAGTCTAGATCTGGTCGGAATTCTTATTCATTTGTGACAGTTAAGGCAGGGGAGATTTCTCCGTGAGGTGGAATCTTTGTGTTACCTGTGTTATGGTGTATGTGATGTGAAGGGGGATTCCTGGCTTGTAAAGCTGGCAGTGAGGGATAGAGCGCCATAATTGGTAATTCTTGTTATTATCTTATGGGGATTATTCTATTTGCTGTTTCTTTTGGGGGGGGGCAGGAGTTGGAATGGAAAGGAAGGGAGAGTAGGGTTCAATTACAAGGCATGATGATGTCTTAAGAATGCGAAGCCTAGCAAACTATTATAAGAGGAAATTTGCACCGAAAGCCTTTTAGATTTACTTCTAATTAAAATCTACTATTTTTAAACTTGACTGGTGCATTTAGCAGGAACGACAGAAGTCTGCATCCAAGTGACTTTTCATCTCATCCTTGCGGCTTCGGCGTAATTGACGCAATACGCAATCGTCTGTTGATTTTAGTTCAGAATACGGAGCTCGCAGTAGGCTTCACTCATATGTTCCGCAAGTTACGGAAGGTAGACGGGAGACAAAGTTGGACTTTTGAAGGAGCGTTTGTCTTCATAAAACTACAATCCTGATGTTGAAACCTTTCTGCCCATTTCTCGTGATAGCCACGTTGGCCTTCGACCGTGACAACAGTACCATACAACTATCTATTTTCCAAGAGAATCATAGCAGGTTGCAGCACTAGCAGTAAGAGGGTGTAGCCGGACATTTTACGACACGAAGCGGTCTTCCTTGTTGCGTTTAAGTAATTGAGTTCTGCTTGGTTGTCAGTAGCTCACCGACCCAGCCACGGACTAAACTCCTCGCCTGTAAAGCCAAGCAAGCCGAGTCCAGCCGGCCATACCCCTTTTCCCAAGCATCCGAATTTATTGTGATCGTCATCGGAGCCATGAAAAATATCATCACGCTCGCAAAAAAGCTTGGGTTTCTTTGCGGGGTGCTGCTGGTCCTGGATTTGCCGAGTGATATGATGATGGGTTGAGAAGTGCTTTAAGACGCTGAGCCCACCTTCCCTCTTTTTTCTTTTTCGACTTGCTTTCCTTATAGGATAGGTTTTGCGCATTTTGTCTTACTACCACATCTGAATATATCCTTTCACGTCACATAGTCGCAGGAAGAACTCTCTAAAAATGTTGTTCAACAAGATCGTTTCGTTGGCTGCTTTCGCCTCCCTCGCTTGGGCTCAGAGTATCACCGATGTCTTGACTCAGAATAAGGATAATCTGAGTGCTCTCATTGGTGAGTCTTGTTGATCTCATAGTCTCACTTCATCTTCCCCCCCAATCATATGATAGATACTAAACGAAACCCCCACAGGCCTCCTAGCAACTCAACCCGAGCTCCTTAAATCAATCGCAGAAACCAAAGATATTACTATCCTCGCACCCAACAATAAGGCAATCGAAACACTCCTCTCCACGGATGCTGGAAAGGCAGCAGCCGCTAATCCTGCCCTGGTCAAGGCAATCCTTCAATACCACGTTTTGAGCGGAGTGTTCCCCTCAACTGCATTTTCATCCAAGCCGGCTTTTGCGGCCAGTCTTTTGACAGATGCAACGTACGCGAATGTGACTGGAGGTCAACGCGTTAAGGCTGTTGCACCAGAAGGAAGACCTAAAGGGACTGTCATTATCTCTAGTGGTTTGTTAGCTGATAGTAATGTGGTTGTTGCTGTATGTGTCACCTACTAAAAGTACCTGGAATTTTACATGGTGTCTGGACTGACACTTCCATAGGATGTCAAATTCGACGGTGGTGTGATTCATGTAATTGATGAAGTTCTTACCATTCCTACCGCCGCCTCAGTCACAGCGGCAGCAGCCAATTTGACTGCTCTTACCGGAGCCCTCACCACCGCAAACCTCGTCGGTACTGTCGATGGCCTCAAAGATGTAACCATCTTCGCGCCTTCCAACGCTGCATTTGAAGCTATCGCTGCCACCACTGCCGGACTGTCCGTTCAGCAACTCTCAAGCATTCTCACCTACCACGTTGTCGCGGGAACAGTCGGATACAGCAGCACTTTAACCAATACCAAGCTCAAGACTGTGAACGGGGCGGAACTTGAGATCAAGGTGAGCGGAGCGGACGTGTTTGTCAACCAAGCGAAGGTTATTGTTGCCGATGTTTTGATTGCTGGCGGTGTTGTGCATGTTATTGACGGGTTGGTTCTCCCTCCTGATGAGTGTATAGAATAGGAGAAGACGAAGTTACTGATTTGAATTCAAGCGTCCTTCTGCCATCAGGATCAGGGACCAATACCTCCACTCCCTCTCCCAATGCAACCGCCTCGGCTACTCCAACCCCTAATGTCGTCTTGACTAGTGGGGCCGGGAGTACCATGGGCGCTGTTGGATTAGGAGCTCTGGTTGGTGGTGCGGCCTTGTTATTCAATCTGTGATTTCTTTTAGCATATGCGTATGTAGCCTGTGGTCAAGCTTAATTGGGGGAAGGGTTATGATGTAATATGTATTCATTGAGATTGAACTTTGATTATGGGAGGATTTAGGAGGAATTTAAGTAGATATTTTCGCTTAACATCCATCTCCTTTACCCTGGCATCCTTTCTGGGTTTCATTTTCCAATATGGCGAAGCACTGTAAAGTTTCGATTGACTTTGATGAATGAGTGTCACAAAAGCATACACAACAAGACCTCCCTAACGATTGATTCGAGGCCAAGCTAGTAATTTCTTTAAAGATTGCGTTCCCCCACAAAACATACATCCAAGCGCTCTTCACACAAACTTGCTCATTCCATTTTGTCGTATTTCAAGATGACTCGGTAACGTAAACTTTGCCCTTAATAAAAGCTAGGAAGATTAGGGTACTACGTGAGTAGTGCGGAGCTAGTCGGTCTGAGCCCCTGGTCATGTTTCCGGATGGTTCGACTGATCGGATTTAGCTAAGTTCTCTCTGATATGAGTAGTAGGCAGTAATATAGTTACTATGTATAGTAGAATACTCACGTGATGAAGCAGCACTTAAGCAGTCATACCCACTACTCTATCCTACTCAATAAGACTACCTCTTCAAATCCACTTAAGATTATTCCGAACAACTCAAGTGTTACCCAAGTAGTTGAGTATTCCGTCCTCACGCTAGTCCTTGACAAACGTCTTTTAATTCTGGACAGAACTATACTCTAACATTTGTTGCAAATACTCAGATTTTGGCACCTATCAATGTAAGTATGAAGACATCTATATATTATTCTTTCAGAGACTTTGTCACAAACAAAGAACACAAACTCTATAAATAGTCCAAATCAAACTAAGAAAGGCAGACATAGGTAAGAGAAAACACTTTGTGAGTTAGTCTACTGTCAGATTTCGCAATTGTGGCATTCGTCAGCACACTGATGACTACGAAAATGAAGGTCTGACTTGATGTTGCCACTCGATACGTGCCGGAAATACCTCTGATTTTGTCTTTTGTCCTGTTGGTTTATGCTTTTCCTTTCCCTCTTCAAAGTCCTGTTGAGATCATTCCAATCCCTTTCCCCTCTGTTCCGTTGACTTATCCTCACGGAAGTCGCGATCATATCGCCGTTCTTTCGGGCCTTCTGGGAACAACTCTACTTTTATTCTCTGTGCTTCAGGCTTTACCCCGTCCTCATTTCTTCGCTTTGTTCCTTGATGGCTTGATTTGACTTGTGCGGTACTGTTTCGAAGATCTTTTAGCAGTTGGAGGATAAGTGGCTCTCTTCCCAAGTTTTTCACCCATATGTACCAATAGTCAATGATAGGCGACAACTTGCCATTGTAATCCGGGGAAGATACCCATGAGCGGAGAAACTGTTCTGCAAGTTCTTCGCAGGCTGCTCTGATCTTGGAGTCATCCATGTCTCGCTTTCTCACTGGTTGTACAAAAAGACCATGAACATCGCATTGAATTCGTCTTGGGAGGCCGAGTCGAGTTAAGTTGTCTAACCGTTCTCCGGAAATCTTGACAATGTTCTGGAAGCGTTCATTGAGATCCCGCTGAAACATTCCGCCTCTTCCAATGTAGGCTCCCCATGCATGCGAAGGTATGTAGGTGAAATGAGGTGGTAAGTAGACTAGTCCAAATTCCCTTGTATCCTTCGCTATCCATGAATGTGGATATTGAAAGTCGCCATTTTCTATCGTGTATTCAAATGCATTGAAGACCCTCGCATCGGGATGTTGTTTCAGAGATGAACTTTGGATGTGGGGCAGCGCTCGATGGATTGGGCGGTTTGAAAGCTTGACAATTATCGTGTTTCGGCTTTCAAAATTGCTCCGGGTAAGATGGTTCGGTCGTTCTTTATATTTCTGATCTGCGCGTTTGTCTGGTTGATTTTGAATTTTGAACTCGTCCTGGGGTTTCTTTCCAATTTCTTGCTGTCTCTCCAACACGCGTGCAGGCTGCGATGGAGGATCGTACTCCCACGGAAATTCAAGACAGCCTTCTTCGTGACCAACTAAAAGGAAGTAAGCATTCTATCAGCTGCGACAACAGGGCCAGATATCATGTAACGGTCTATTACAATCTTCCACTTCTAGAGGCATGCAATATTTCAGTGACTTACAATAACTTGTCCACAACATTATATCTGCGCGATGCATATAGTACTCCACCTCTCGTCCTTTCTCTGCTCCTCTGCCCGGGTCTCGTGATGCAATCAAAGCCGCCTTCCATACGCTCTCGATGAAATCCAAACTCAAATGACCATCGCTCAGTCTCTTACCATCTGGTAGCTCTCGTCTCAATCTTGTATGCCTTGGCTGCTTCGTGAGAATCTCCAAGATCTGGGAGTATTTTGATGAGTAGACCATGGTGATGTTGCATGACCAGAGTACTGACTGGCTCTCCGATAATTGACGTAGTGGGGTGGGAAACTATGATGGATTTATTTGTGTGATTCTATGATTCTGTCACGAGATGTAAGAAGTTTGGGAAAGTAATCCGATATTCAATGCTGGTCTTGTTACTCTAGCGCTATTTTCGACGTTTGAATGCAAAGGTGAATTTCATCCTGATGGTCCGTGCGCTTCCCATGATACTGATACATAAATGACTTCACCCCATCACAGGATCCGCCACCTCTCCAAAATAAGCATTGGGCAAATCCCAACTAGGCTGAAGTTCTCTCATGGCTTTTATAGCCCCCTCAACCATATCACCACCATATGTCAATTGCAAGATATCTTCCATAGTACCTATCAAAGTTCAAAGTTAGTTCATTCATGAATTCGAAGGCAACGAACCACATACTGGGAATCTTCTCTCCTTCCATATATTCTTCCAAGCCCGTGGTCGACGTCTCATCCAAGCCAAAATTACTCAACACCTGAATACTTGCTGCGCGATTTCTTCTGATCTTCTCGTATAGAGCGAGACGCTCTGAGATCTTCGACTTAGCAGTGCACCCATGCAAGACAAGCCCGAGAACCAACCCGTCTTCGATTCCCTGTGCGCCACCTTGACCTAAATCTGGGAACAGTTAGAAAGAACAAGATACTGGGAGAATTTATTACTTGGAAGCATAGGGTGAGCTGCATCTCCTGCTAAAGCCATATTCCCTTTGTGCCATTTCGAAATCGGGGGTCTGTAGAGAAGAGGCCAACGCCCTTGTTCAGTCGCTTTCCTGAGAAGGTGTCAGTGTCGCATCTTAAATGACATTTCTAGGGAAAATGGAGACATGAATACGAAATACAAAGCTCACTTTGCAACTGCAATTATGCCAGGATGGTAACCCGCTAACGCTTCCAAGATCTCCTCTTTTGGAACCGAGGCTTGCCAATCTTCAAGATAATAGAATTAGTATTTGGTGCAATGGTTGGGAGATGAAGGGACACATGAATACCTTCTGTTTTATTTTTGTCAAGCTCTTTGTTACAGATAATTGCACAATTGCAAACTTCATAGCTAAAGAGGCATTTAGCTGCTATACTAAATGCTAAGGAAGGGAATAAATCATAATTTAATGGTCCATGTGATCAACACAAAGAATGGGCCAGGAACTGTAGGAATCGATTCTACGTAGTATATACGTTGAAAAGGGGGCGGGACGGGGCACATAGGAGACGATGCACATACTCGCGACACGGATAGGTAATAAATCTTCTCTGTCCTGGAATATCTGGATATATAGTGAGGCCGAGTGACGGGAGACCCTGTGTAAAAAACCGAGTTTCAGGGTCTGCCTCTAGATCTGCCTTCGAAATTAGAAATCGGTAGCAACAATTTGATTGTTGGGCAGGTTCTGGTGGGTTGCTCCGACCCAAGATAGAGTTAACACCAATAGAGTGAATTCCATCTGCCGCAATAACGAGATCAGCAGTTATCAATGTTCCATCAGCAAGTGACATAGATGGCCCTTCGGGGTCCTGATACGTGAGGTCAGCAAGTCAAAAAAAACCGATTTCAATGATCACCTACATAGCTGACGACGGGTGATTTCACATGAATGGTGGCAGGTATTCCAGGGCCATCTTTCGTCGTCGCAAGCTTTTTAAGGGCCTCGTGAAGATCCACCCTGTGGGCAAAATATATGTTTCCTCCATATAACTCTTCGTGATTGTCAAAAACAGTAGATGATTGTTCTTCCAATGTGATCGGTGATACGAAGAAAAGACCTCTTGATTTCACGAATCGGGAATTAACAGGATCCAATCCCCATCGGACTAGAAATCGAGAGACATTTGGGGGGACGTTGATAGCTGCTCCTACCTCGTGGTTGAGCGATGATCTCTCGTACAAGTTCACTTCATACCCGCTTCGTCTTAGAGAAATCGCCGCCGCGAGCCCAGTAATACCAGCCCCCGCAATAGCCACCTCCATTTTTAGGGTTGGTGGGGGGGATGGGATGAAGGGAAATATATTTATAGAAAAAGGCAGATTCAAAAATTGTGACTGCAATTTTAATGTATTTGAAGTGTGCTGAAAGCTGGAAATATTTTGGAGAAGAAGAAGCCAATATATCCGATTTTCCCACTTGGGCCGGAGAAGTGTCACCACCTTCCTTCGGATGTCCATGACGTCCGACTGCCGGTAATGCAGTGAGACTGCACGTCTCAAGACAGCAGAATCTGCGATGGAAAGCATATCCTTCTTCCGTGATAATAAATGGGGTGATTCAAGTGGCGAAGCTTGCTGTTCGAAAAAGAATATTTACTGGCGGCTGAGTCAGATAAAAGTATACAGTATTAGACAGCGTCCGCCGATATCCAACTTCCAATTCTGACTTCTGACATATCTCAGCGATCCAATTCTCTCAATGATTTTCGCTAAGTTGCTGTACCCAACCAGCAGGGCAAGTTCCAGTGCAGGCCAAACCAGACGTCCCCTGGTTCGCGATATTCGAACACAAATACTGCACGGAACCTCCCCCAGTCTTCTGCCTGATATCAATTCCAGAAAATGTCAGATTCTTGCACGGAGCTGAACCGCTGCAGTGTATGCCTGCACCAACATTGTATCTTGAAGTCCCTTTGATTTTCTCCCAACGAATGTCGGATATCTGAAGCCTGGAACTGTCGCAATTTGTGTTCGAGTAAATGCACGATGTGATATAGATGGGCTGATTGACATCGTCGAAGGTGATATCTTTGAAGAGAACATTTTTTACGTATCCGCCGCCAGTGGGGTATGTTTTGATCCATGCCGCGTTGGAGCTATGTGTGAGGGAGACATTTTGGAAGACAACGTTCTCTACATTTTCGGTCACCCCATTTGCAATACTACCAACGCACATTCCTCCAGATTCATGGCACACGATATTGCTCACATGAACATTCTTGCTGTTACCTTTGACGGATATGCAATCCTACGGAGATAGGAATTAGTTAAGTAGACTTGTTAACAGGCGGAATTAAATTATCAAAATAATTAGGAAATGCAAGAGAATCAGTAGCCAAACTCACATCACCTGAAGTTACAGTCCAATTGGAAATTACGATGTCCTGCGAGTTCCACGTGTTAACACCATCCGTATTGACAGTCTTCCACTGTGAGTTTGAGATGGCGCTCATGGCAAGGTTGGTCATTGTTACATTCTTCGAGTAGGCAACGAATGTATTCCTGTTTCCAAGCTTAGTCGCCTCAATATGCATGCATAGAGCTTAATCTACGTACCAGAATTGGGGCTGGCTCCACGTTATTCCATCAACAAGAATATTTGTCGCATGCCAAACGGTGAGAGAAATTGGACGACCGTTTTGATTGCCCTGATTCTTATTTTGATCATACCAGGTCTGTCCGTTGCCATTGAAAAGCGCTTTTCCATATCCTCGAAGCGTGATATTGGTACCTCCAATTCTCCAAGCTGTAGAGCGGCCAGCGTAAGTTACAGAAATGCTACTCCTCAGCCAATACTGGATATCGGTGCTCCAAATCAACGTCCCGCGAATGGAGATATCACAGTTCCGCAAGTCAATCACATCGATGACTTTACCGATACGAAAGGTACCTTCGGTGAGTTCAATACTTCCCTCTTTTCCACACTTGCTGAAGGCATCGAGGATCTGAGGGGTATCATCCAAGGTCCCAGTCCCGGTCAGAGGAGTGATGGTGCATGCTGTCCCATTCTGCGTCAGCGTAGCAAGAACCGAACTGGCTATTAATAGCAGAAATGATATAATAATCGTGACCAACATTTCAAATCGTCATGTAAAACTTTGAATATGAAGTGAAATGACGATTTGAAGAAAGTTCCACCATATATAATCTAAAGAGTATCTGCCCTATATGCCTTTACAATTAGGCTCAAACATCTCCACTCATTACCATAAACTCCAGGAGACTGTTAAATAGCTTTCAAATGCGGGGAACTGAAGCGAAACTTCAACACTTATCTTTAAAGGAGCACCCCGCCTCGCTAATTTAGGCGGGAGTCAAGCCCCACATTCACATCCAGTCCTCCGTAATTTGTACGCCCCAAATCCTGTGGAATCGCTGAATCGCATCTTGCTACCAGTACAAATATAAACAGAGGTAAAAACAAGTACATAGGTTTCGATTCTACAAATAGCAAAGTACTAGCGTCAGATCAGTGATCGCCCGCCAAAGTTGCCTCAAACCACAAATATGGAGCCTATTTTAGGTGACCTGAAAGCAGAAAAGGGACAAAGAACCACCCAGGGGCTTGACATAGCATTATTCGCGCATCTATTTGAAGCATCTTTGACTGCATCTCACTTATAGTAAATATAGTCTCCATTTTGGCGGTGAGTGACTTGTGTTTTTACAGTTGCTTCCTATGTACGGTTTAAAAGCCATACCTACTATTCTGTTATAAGTCTTCTAGCTCTAGTTGCTCCCATTCCAAGTTCAAATTGCTTGAATACAAGCTCAATTATAAGCTGAAAATGCTATGATAGTATGCAATGTTACGGAGCAGGAGTGACAATCATAGTGAATATAGCTCTGGCGCACCTGGAGCGGCTCATATATAAAGCTCGATAACTTTTGCAAAGATGTAATATTTGACTTGATTTTTTTTGTAAATATTTCTTGATTATTATAGAATAATTATGATGGTTCAAGATAGACGGTCACTATTCCCTTTATAACGTAGTGTTATGAACAATGAATGACAGGCACGTGGTAGGTTCATAGACCCACCTAAAGCTTGGACCACCGATTAGGCGAGGGCGGGATGGAGGGAAAGGGGGAGTCGAATAGCCTAACCACCAAGGGTAGATTTACCGTCCAAAACAACTCAAAACCGTCCAAAAAAAATCCAAAAAAATCCTAACGCCTTTAGAGGCGCCGCCAGGGAGAGTAAACCAGACGAACTGAGTTTTTCTATTTGGCTATCATTCCTGCGCTCTTCCGTTTGTAGCTAATAGGCACCATATTAAAGTGTGTAAGGCCGTTGCCTTAGTGGTAACATGCTTGAGACATGTTACCACTAAGCCAGTTAGACGATGTTCCGTAGAAGCATACAAATGATTGACGGTTGGTGGCTTACTTGACCATTTAACAACGTGGGCGTGTATTTGTGTGGGGCTGGGATGCTAGCGTGAATGGCAACCCAGGATGGGGGCTGGCTTTGACGACACGTGCAGAAATTTACAGCCAATTCAATGCAGGAGAGTCTCCAATTGATGCCAATACTTACTTCCGAGACTCAAGAGATTTGATTACGTTCACTAATGTGGAAGCGATGAGTAAGACATACTTGAGATAATTAGGGTAAAGTAGAGGGCCTTAAGAGTCTAGCTATAAATACCTCCATCATCACTCTTGCAACACCTCAGCTGCCGCGAAAACAGATTCATTCTTTCTATCGCCAAAAGAGAACTTACATACAAGTTATTAATACAAACACCTCTTCCTGCCACCGCCATCTACACGGAGAACTTCATCTTCGAGACCTAACCTTACAACGCTGAGCGCTCTAGGAGCAGTAGAAAGAATGTACTCTCTGTGAACTTGTATCACCCTTTGACTGGAGCTACCGCTCTCCAAATCAACCTCCGAGTTATTCCCCGTAATCTTTTCCATAGAATCGGAATAGTAACAAGATACTCAATCCTTTTGATTATTTCCGTCACTTATACTGCGTCTTTCAAGACGGGCTTCGCGTCTTGGACTGTTGCCAGTACCGGTTCTATAAGGATTGCTTCCCTTCTCAGATCTGGCTTGAGCGGCATAGTATCTGAGTCTCGAAAAAATAGCGTTGTTCATTTCCTTGACGAGCGGGCCAAGTAAAGCAGGGAGGGCTGGCAGACAGGCGGCGATTAGGTACACTCCTGATTCCATGACAACCCATGTCTATAAAACATAGAATATGAGTCAGCCTATTCATTGATTTGTGATTAAATTGAACGAGAAAGGGACGGGTCAAAAATAAAATAGTGGCTCGGCTTTGGTAATCGCTACTAGAAGTGCGATGAATGGAAGGAAATAAGACTTGCCATATTTTCAACCCCGTACCACGTTATATCTACGAAAACCTGTACATCAAAAAATATCTGAAACCTCAGGATTGATGTGATGAGGCCGCTTGAAAACATGAGTACTTCTTTGGTAGATTGACCCGACTTTCAATGCTTACATGCTAAATGTGAGAAACGTAAACATCAGACAGATCTTATGGCTTCGAGAGGCAACTAGCCTCCAAACTACAGGTAGTGGTAAAATGAGAATCGCCACATCGGTAACTATATCTCCAATAGTCAGTTTTCATCAATGGAACAAACATGAAGAACGGTGTAAAATAACTTACTCGGAAAGCCAACTCATGCGTACGCTTTTATGGAATCTCCACAAGACCCACCAGCCACTGTTTTATCCCATGTATAACGAAAAGGTCTGCAAAGAGCGAAAAGGACTATCCAAGCAGTAACACATGAAGTAACAAGCACTGCCATGATCATATAAGTTGCGATGCGAAATGCTCGTTTTTCTCCGAAACCCCGAAGATAGAGACAGAGCACACCGAGCTTAGGAAAAGTGACTGCAGGCGGATACATGAAGGATACAAAAACCATGGTTTTCAACCAAACTTGAATTTGTTTTAGGGATGCAAGGACAACATGCCTCCCTGAGTTTGTGGTTTCCAGTGACCCTGTCTGTATGTCAAAACTTTAATAGCCAGGAAGGCTTTCCTTCACTCACAGAAGCATGTTCCTGTGTGGATTATGCAGAAGATAAAAGACGGGATCATGAGATAAGTATCCCATCCAAGTGTCTTGCTTCGAATTCGGGAGATGAAGTAGAGAGCCACGAAGGTAATTTCAAGAATAACAAATGCTATGCCGACATGGAGCAGTTGTTGGCTCCGATCCTGGGCAAGGTACTCAGGTCCATACTCAATATCTGAAGTTCTTTTCGAAAACATTATTCCTAGGCAAAGCTACTCGCGAAGACGGCGCGATGACGTTGATATAGAATGCAGCAACACTTTTCTTAGGTGGAAAATAAACCGGTTTGACAAATGGAGGTGTTATATATATAAGGCGACTTTAACTCTGCTTTGGCCAACAAACTATGAGCGTCGCCATGTGGGAGCACGGGCACCCATATACAGCCGCCCTTGTGTTGTTTCTAGCAAAGGTCTAAATGGACCATTCTTTTCAAACCCAGCTCGGATGTAGAAAAGGTTAATTCACTTATAATACAGTCTTTTGATTGGGAGTTTCCGCTAAATAGTGGGTCTTAGAGGGCTGAGGGTCTTAGTAAAACACTCCCGCTCTTCATCTGAAGATACACCCTTTCCAGGAACGACATAATGGGGACTGTACCATGAACACCTGGTACTTGGTATATGGACACCCAGTACTTCTCATACATACACTTGATTTTCAAGGCATTCTTACATCCCTTGAAGACTCAGGATTTCTAAAACCTGTATAAAAAGTACTTCAACTAACATAACTTAGGTACGTTATTTTCAAAGTACCCTCACCGGTCCGTGTGCCTAAGACTGACTTTTACAAACGTTTTGAACTAAGTATGCGTACCTCCCTCGAGCCGCCTACCTTTACATATCACTGACCTTCTCCTGCCCCCCCTTCGCCTCTTTACACCTTCGGTCTCTGAACTTGTAAGTAACTTCGAGCTTGTTTCCGGCAACGTGTAGTTTTCAAATAAAGCAGTAGGGTGTTTTATTTGGACCCACGGTTCTCTATTTTGAGAATTTCCCAAACCGAAGACAGCTGGATCGTACATGGGTTCAACCATTTATACATCTGAGCTGGGTTTCTAAAAATATGACCATTTTGACTTTTTCCGGCGCTTAGCTTCAAGATATCTGGAAGTCCCTCCTGTACACACAAGTCCCTCACTACCTATAAGTCACTGTTTCTCTCCCCTTCGCTCACACACACATATATATACTCAAATGCCTAGATAATCACACGCGATTCTAGATAGACTTGGTAAAATATAAAATCTGTGTAGAAAAGTACACAAATAGATATAAAAAGGGTTATGAAACATCGACATCTTAGCTTTTTTTAATTCCCGTGTATGTACAACTACACTGTTAAATCGGTGTCTATGCTTGTAAACTTCTAGTAAGATTTCATAGAACATGGACCGGTAGTGTATATATGTTCCCGTTCTTTTATAGTGGGGGTGGTTGTCTCCGTGGATCTATGCTCCCATAGGGACGTAACTGAAAATGGCAGGCCCGATATAAGTCAAACCGCACCTGTCTTTTTCAAAATTCTCAATGCGACCATGCTTTTCACTGTAAAGTCAGATGTAAGGTGTCTGCCAAAACAAACCTTTGATATCAGGTAAACGGCCACGATACCGTTTTTCTATTGATGGTCTTGATGTCATGAGGATCTCAGTCATCTTAAGACATATGAGGGACCCTTGTCAAATGAATGATCTATAAAATCTCTGTTCTCCTTCAAACGTCCGAAACAGCTGAGAAATCAAGAATGAGCTTTAAATATACTGCCATATGAGATGAGCTTCGCGGATCAGAAAACTTGCTTGCTCACCAAAGCTGATTCGTCTTCGGATGTTTCCACACCTCTCAACGTTCGAAACCTCATCAAAAACCTATGAGAAGTCTAATGTACCATGAGATTGTGTTACTTTGTTTTTATGAGAAATACCTACTACTTAACTGAATGTACAGTATTCGTAGTCCCAGATTACGTTCATATAGACAGCTTGCTCGTATGCCTGACGTTACCCGAAACCCAAAGACCTAGAATCTTAGGCTGTCTATGCTTAAAATCTCATAGGGCTGAAACCCAATCCTAACGGAGATAATTTCCTATCTCTTGTGGCGGTCTCTTGTGACGGAAAGTAAATTGATTCAATTGGTTTGAAATGTAACGCTCTCGCTTATTCAGGGACATCAGAATTGAGGTACGCCTCCCCTAAACCTTGAAAATAGGGTTGTTGGAACACTTGCTTGGCCACAAAAGATCGAACGAGATTTTCAGAGTCCTTTAGGTCGATCAACCATTATTCTTTGTGTAGCGAGGGCAAGGAATAAGATTGCGCAAGAAGTACAATAATCGAGACTACTGGAGGCGCTCAAGGTTTTTGTCACCTATCTTGAAAACCATCGTCAGCCAACTTTCTACATGGATTGAGACATTAAAGCATATTACAAGGAGCTATTGGCGGGTGAAAAGGCAAGGTAAGGCATCAGAAAATAGGATGGGAGACTAAGGGTGAAAAATGGCAAACCCTGAGCCAAAAGTATCTCTCGTAAGTCTGATGTGTTCCGATTTTTAAGGCAGGTAATTCCTAATACAGGTCTGAAATAATGTCAGAGAGCGACCGGCAGAGTGAAAAACGATATTCACACCAAGGTTACGGCGCCTGACCGAAAGCTTCGGGCTCCTTGCGCGGCCCTGCCGGTAGAGAAGACTGAAAATGCGGGGTATGAGGGGGAAAGCAGGGGAGTGGTCGAATAGTTTATTAACATTTGTTCTGAAAAGCATTCTGGATCTACCGGTGCTATCCATAGGCAGAAAACTGCGTCAGAGACAAAGTGTTTTCACAAAATGCACTTTTCCCTCCTCCCCCTAAAATGAACGTTATTTCTCACAGCCGTATAACTCAGAACCTGTATGGAAAAAGTGCCGTGGTCCATCAAATAATTAAAGTTCACGATTGACATATATTTAAGGAGGCTTAGGAGAGCACGAACTGCATCACCCGGCAGCATCCGACTAGCGTGATGGTAGAACTTTGAAAGATCGGGAGTACCCAAGTATAAATGACTCAATGGTTTCGGATTTAGCAGGCAATGAAAGTACTTTCTGGACAAAAATGGGTGTAGACGGGAGCTTGATTGTTTGGAAGGTGAATTTCTTTTGGAGTTATATACCTCGTCAACATCGCTACTCAGTGCAGTGCGTGGTTTTACCCTCAAATCATTGAAAGCATAACTCTGATGGCTTTCTTTAAAGCCGAGAGCAATAGTAGTCACTTCTACCAGTCGGATTATGTCGCTGTTATTATCGCCGATTTTTATTTTTATAAACAACGTTTATTGGCGTCGCATATAACGTGCATATAACGTGTGAGTCACTTGTAGAGGCATTTTAATTGCGCGATTTTGATGACAGCTTATCTTGGAAAAAGGTATAACATTTAGACAGATAATTGATTTCGCCGGAGCTGAGTTTGCCACTACTGTGGCGAGTGTGAGTGGGTTGCGTGCGGGAAGTCTGAATAACTTCAAACATTGCATAGAACCAGACTGAAGTGAGCACTACCCTATAGCGTAACTCGTGACCCTGATTGTAATTAGTAATAACTTACACGGTCCCCTCCCAGCTCCACAAGTTGTCTTTGCACCTCCAAAACGGCCTCTGCACAACTCTTATCCATTTCTTGGAACGAACCTAACCACTGAATAACAAAATTGGCGCTCAATTCTACCTACCGAAAGCAGAATTGGTAATACTCGAACGCTTTTTTGAGACCATTCCTTACTTCTAATGCTTTGAAAGTAGAGAATTAGTACGATGATGTTATAGAGAACGCACTTCGCATTTTCTCTTTCGCAAAGAGGCAAAATTAAGCTTTCCGGAGAAGTCAAAATATGTCTCGGAGCACTGTAGCACGGAAGCCGCTTCCGGTGCCTAGCAGCAGGCCAAGATTTTCAGAGCTTAATTGACAGTTTCTACAGTCAAAGCTACATGAAGGTGGATCTGAGCCTCCGAGAGTTCGGAAGACATGATTTACTGCACATACGGAGTAATAGCTGTATAAAATCTCGCGATAGACGTCTGAAGTTTGGAATTGAGAATCATCGGCTGCCGTAGGTAAGATCGAAAAGATGGCATACGAAGTAAGAATATCAGCACGATTTTGTTGTATGGAAATCATAATCAAGATATCAGGAATGCGACCTGAGACCCAAAAGGTCTGCTTTGCGGGTTGCAAGGTCCTAAAAGGTGCCTGTGAATCAACATATTGATATGGTATTATGCCGCCCCTAAGTTGAATAACACGTTGATTGCTAGAGATATCGATATATACGGTATATTATGAGCTCTGTTTTCCAGTTTGAGACATATTCGAAATTTTTGGCCTTTCTCTCCGCTTCCTCTAGCCTGTACGATTATACAGATATACAATTTCCAAATATCTCTGCGATAAATGGTGGAGAATCTACAGTATCATTTTCTTTTTGTTAGATAAGCTATGGTGATAAATTGAAATCTACATTCAGCCGAATCTCCTTTATTCAATACCACAAACTAGTAGCTGACGCGAGAATACAACCCCCAAGTTTTTAAAGATGGATACCGAAAAGGATTATGAGTAAGCCATGGCTCTTTTGCTCATGATTACCCCGCATGCTGTCGATAATCTGCCCAATTTTATACTTATCATTATCTATTCACTGAGCATACCCGACCAATCTGCAGGCCCAAGAAGGCATTATAAAGTGTGTGGATTCAGCTAGTTAACGAAGAGACTATGGGAACAGCAAATCATGAGAGCGCTCAACTTATGTTCCAACACCGTTGGGCAATTCAGTAGGTAAATAGGACAGTTTCTATGTAGGATTGGCGAATATTGGAGGTTGGTGGCTGTCGCCATGGACTCGATGGAGATGGTACATCGGGGCCTACTATTGGTGGTTGCTCGGCCAAAAGCGCCAACTTGGCGAATGACAAGTTTCTCTGCGTGACTACGTATCTGAAACACTTTTTATTATTAAGTAGACGGAAGAAGCCAAACTGATGTGAATAATCTCAAGTCAAAATTAGCTGTATGTTCTTCTAGATCTTCAAGATCTGATCACCAACTCGAACCCGGGTACTGCAAAATAATATCTGCACGATCGACAACCGACAATATGGCACCAATGGCACCACAACAACCCCTGAAGCATCGTGCTTGGCAATACACAACGACAAAACCTCCCCTGGAAGCCAACCTTGTCCTCAACCACACCGCGACCGTCCCAACACCAAAATCAAACCAACACCTCATACAAATCATCGCCGCAGCTCTCAATCCCGTCGATTATAAGCCAGCTGAAAGTTCTCTAATCAGCTCTCTCTTCGTTAAAAACCCCGCAACACCATGTAATGACATCTCAGGTCGCATTGTAAAACCTGCCGTCAACTCAAGCCTCAAAGCAGGTCAACTTGTTTGTGGAACTTCAGGAAATGATAACCCACTAGCTGGTGGTGCATTAGCCGAGTTTGCATGGGCGGAACTGGGATCGATCACGGCTCTTCCCGCCCAGGGCGTGGATGTGATTGATGCTGCGGGTGTTGGTATTGCAGGTTTAACAGCCTATCAGTCACTCGTTCCTTACGTCAAAAAGGGAGACAAAGTGTTTATCAATGGCGGCTCTGGAGGGTGTGGTGTTTTCAGTATACAGATCGCCAAGGTTCTAGGATGTTATGTTACTACGTCCTGTTCGACGGCCAATATTGAGCTTTGCAACAGTTTGGGCGCTGACGAGGTGATTGATTATACGAAGCAGAATCTGATTCAAAGTTTGGTCGCTAGTGGTGGTTTTGATCATGTGATGGATAACGTCGCTGGGGATACGAGTCTCTATTTTCGTTGTCATGAGTACACAAACCCGACGGCCATTTATGTCAAGGCGGGACTCACTGTTTCTATGCAGCATTTACTGGCTACAATGAAAATGACACTGTTGCCTGGTTTTCTGGGTGGTGGGAAGAGAAAGCTTTTAAACTTCCTAACTAAGACAAACCCAGATCACCTGGCTCAGGTAGTAGCTTGGATGGAGGAGGGAAAAGTTAGAACGGTGGTTGATGAAATATTCGCATTCGAGGATGCTCCTAAGGCATTTACGAAGCTGAGAACCGGCAGAGTCAGAGGAAAGGTGATTGTTGATGTCGCGTCTGAAACATATGAGCAAGTGAAAATGGATATCTGATGCGGAGAGTCTCATTCACGGTTGTGCTTTGGCGAAATTCTGCTGTGAGGAATTTGCTTTGAAGGGGGTAACCTGGTTTGGAAAGGTTGATAGTGATGACATTTACGCAGTTATGAATGGAGGAGCAACCCTTGCTTGAAGTTAGAGAATTTCCAAGTGTGTTTGTAATCTTGGATACAAGAAACAATAATCTGCTGGGCAGTCCCTTGAATGGAACAATATTAACGATTTGGGACCCGCTTGGTGGTCATTGGCAGTGCTGTCAAGCTTGGAGTCGTAAAACCTTTGTATTTCAAAGCTCGAATACCCAGCTGCCTTCCAATGAAGTGATTGATGTCTAATTCTCCAAATCTCAAATCCCAGCAAAGAACTTCCACCAAAATGTTTGGCCACCTCGGCAAATAGCCGAATAAAGAAAGTGTAGATCTCAAGCAACCCAAAATTGGTGCGCCGCTGAAGTAGCGAACCACTCCAGAAAACAATTCGGAATAGCCTCCCAAACCCAAAACGACCGACTCAAACGCCTGGGGTATCACTCTACCTCTAAATTAGTGCGCCTAAAATTTCAACCTGCAAACTCTACCCAAAAATAAGAAGGCTATTTCGCCAAGAAATGAAGAATATTCTAAACTCCATTGCAAGTACCCCAGTTGATGTTTTGTGGGTTATTTGGGATGACGCCTTGCGCAACAGCATCTGCCATAAAATTAGTGCCAAAGTACACGGGAACGAAGTAAATGTCAGCGGAGTACTTACCCTGATAACCCCACCGATAATCGCCCAACTGAGTCTTCCAGCTCCAAAAAATCCAGCCATTGGTATCGCGTTCATAGGCAATTATTTGAGCACTGAACCACTGCGTGTAAAATGCTTTATTTCCGTCTGGGTGCCAATCTCCATTCCACTGCACAAAATCGGGCACCGATAGGCTAAATTCGCCTACGATGGTTGGCCAGTTACTTTTTTGATAATCAGTATTGCTGATGCACACAAAGTGTGGTAAGAATTAGTATATATAATGTATGAATAGCACTCGAACTACCCATATTAAATGGAAGTATTAAGATAGAATGGGGACGGACCTGAGGCGGTTGTTGTGGCACGCATCGCGAATATAGGCGCCTTTGTCCACGGGGACACTACTATCCCATTTGGTATACCTGGAGTATTTAGTGAACAGTATAAAACCCGTCTTGAGAGAATTACCGGTGGTCATCGTAAGCCATGAACCAATCACTTGTAAGGTGGGAATGTGGGTCACCTGTGATCCAGGTGATATGTGTCAGTATAGTTCTTTCAACTTCTGTCGGGGGTTTATTGAGTAAGAACAATTGGGTATAATGTTAAGGTTAAGTATTTCTCAGCTCTTGGAGCTGGCAGAAGGAGAGATTTTACGTGGGTGAAATAAAACTTACCAGAACCCCACAATGTGTTCTATAAAAAAATACATCAGCATTTTCATTTGTCAGCAAGATGAATTGAAAAGATATAAGTACCATGGCTTGGATGTGAAGCAAGTTATTTGATGAAATGCCTAATTTGGCTTCCCGGGCTCGGATTTCCGCATAAGCATTGGGATAGTAATTATCCAATAGTCCAGGGGTTGCTCCGGTATTTTGAATGGGCTCGTTCACCAATTCAATCATTCCCACATTTCTAAAAGCACCTCTCGTATGAACTACCTCCGAAAGCCATCCCACAAATTCCTTGGCTCGATCGTATTGGTGCCCCTGGTAGAAACCAGCAGAAGGCGCATACTATTTTTGTTTTAGAAAGTTATCAAACGGTTGTAAAAGATTGAAGTTGCTCACCTGTCCTGTGAATGGCTGCTGTGGTTGCTGGGCACCAGGAGCTCCATGTACATCAAGGATGATGTACATACCAGCATCGCTTGCCCATCCCACGATTCGCTCCAAATAGGGAAATGCACCTTGTGGGAAGTGCTCACTATTCGCATAAACGATGGTTTCAAGAAGCCAGTAACCGAGAGGGATCCGAATGGTGTTCAATCCATAGTTGACCATTTGAGTAATATCACCTTGAGTAATCCATGAGTTCCAATGCTTTTGGAAAGCCTGCACAATTAAATTAGTTCTCCTTCTTGTTTGAATATAAAGAGCGTGATAGATGAGTCCTCTCCTCTCCGAACCAAATGTTTCAGAAGAAACCAGATTGGACTCGAGAAAGAATAGTGGGAGTGTAGAACATATGAACACACTTGGTTTGCTTGACCTTGCCCGAGGTGCATAACACAATCAAACTCAGAGGGCCATGCTCCACAGCTCATAGAGTTCCATTCAGCACTAGCCATCCATGGCTCCATTACGAAAAGAGAGCCTAGATTGACACCGCGAATCTTTGGAGTACCTGGAAGCCAACGCTTGCTGTCGCCATCTGTCTGGGATTTATTGAAGAGATCCTTGCCATTAACAGAGTATATTTCCTGGTGCTCTCCAGGCATCCAAGCACGAACTTGGATGACCAGGAAGGCCAAGAAAAGAGCCAGGTAGGCCTTGAAAGACATGGGTACGAGGTGGTACCACAGAGACAACTTCGAGATACAAAGTTCCAGAAGTGAGTATTCGCAAGCCAGGCGAGTTTCAACGGAATATCAAAAAGGGATTTGGCGACGCAAAGAAGTTGCTAAACCCTGAAAAGAGAGAAGGGAGATGTAAACCACAGCGAGGGCGAAACGCGCAAGAAGTCAATTTGTAATGTACAGGAATGGAAGTCGCCAAAATTGTAAATTCTTAATAAAGAAGGGGATTTGGTCCCACTTTATGTTTACCTCAGGGCTGTACTATATGGTTTCCTTTTTTGATTGGCGGCAGTAGCCGAAAATAGTGGTGAATGGGATAGAATTAAGGCTGTGGGGAAGAAAGAAAGGAGCAAGATCATCTAGATTTGGTTCTTTCTTGAGCCGAAGGGACCATGTGAGCATACCAACAGCACAGCTTCTCAAGAAATAGTGAATATTCCACCATTGGCATAACAAAAACTAGAATCAGTAGGAGCTCATGCAGGGAGGAGAAAGTGCAGCAAGAGGCTTGTGACTATGATAGGGTAAGCCTTCGAAATAGGGGGGGAATGACTTGCGCTCTTGCAGCATTTGTTTTTCTGGTAGAATCATTTGATAATAAGATATGACGGAGATAGCAGGCGAATATCAAGTTGGCGCCACATGCACAGAACAATCCAGAGATATTGAGACGTTTCATAGGTATGAACAGACGATAGGGCATTGGCTCCATGTCTAAACTATAATGGCACGCCTGAGCACCGTTTTTTGACAGCGATGTCTGTATTTGGTAATAACAGCAGATAGAAGAACAGGCGGATGATTCGCAGTGGTTTAGTGAAGGCGTCGCACAAAATGAAATGAAGGTACTGGATGGCCAGCATTACAGGGGAGTATCAAAAACCATTTTTCCAGTGGCTTGTGACGTGGAGATGAATACCGATTCGGGCCGTCCCTTGAGTTGTGTTGTTGAGTTGTGAGTTGAGGTTGGTTGAGAAGGAATCGCCTGTGATTTTGTTGCTCCACGCTATTGTTTCACGAGGCAGAGAGGCGACCAATCAAAACACTGCTGCCACTTCTGCAAATCACCAGCCACAGGGTCTGATGCGCAACTCGTCAAACGACTTTATCCTCGCCATCTGTCCAAACCACAGAATCTTAATCCTTGACCCAGAATCCTGTCGAAAATTCCGATTCCTCGACAGATCAGTACTCGCGTTGAGGAAGATGCTTCACAATAATTACCAAATGCCAACATTTCGGGTCTTGACGTGGAACTTGGAAGCCTCAAAGTCCAGACCACGCGGCTGACTTATATCAACCATCGGCTGCGGTCTAAAGGGGAGATCATCCTCATTTGTTACCAATTTCGATACCGTCTGTCACAAAATCTCTGATACAGTAAGTAGTACGGAAGGGAATAGCAAACATTTAATCACGTGAAACCCCCCTTTTCTGGGATTCGCTTCTATCCTCGCGATATCAATCAATTGTACTCCCCAAAAAAAAACCCGCATCTGGTAAGACTCTGGTCAAAACAAGCTATAATATTGCGTAGAAACTGTAGACGGCCATCTGAGGTTGATTTTGTGGGAAGTTCCAACAATCCTGTCGTCCTGTTATCGGCACGTGAGAAAGCCAAAGATACCTACCCTGATGAAGAATCGTCACGTTCAACTACTATCGTCTCCTTTGCCATCGCAACATTTCCAATTTCTGCTCAGAGCTTTTCCAATTTCTGCTCAGAGCAGTAGCACACATACTCATCATCGGCATCTTGAATAAACTCAAACATTGAATCAAGAAAACTGAAAATCGTGCAGATTCTGGAACCCCGCAAATCGCAATTGTAGACAGCAATAACGCTCACCGTCCCAAATTTGGACGACCAACACATTCTGGCGAACCCCCTTTTTCAAATTCATGTTTTTCGTCCCATTGAGTTGTTTCTAAACACTACATCCTCTCCATCATCAGCCGCCAGATTGCGAACTACTACTCGTTCCAATAATCCCACAAGCACAGTTGAATGCGCCGCAACGGTGGCAAGAAAATCATTCTCAGCTTTCCCTTTCGCAAAGGTTGCAAGTACGAGAACGAACGAAGCGGTGGCTATTGAAGTGGTAATCAGTTCTGTGTTACGATCGTAATGCAGAACCATGCACCAGGCATGATGAGCATTGCACCTATCAACATGATCCCACCGAAACTTCCTAGGATAAGTCTTTCCGTAGCAGCGTTTTTATGTAGAAGCGTATTTCTTATCACAGCGAAGGCGTCTTTCTTTTTGAGCTCCCGAAGTTTATGTAAGTTCATGAGGGTTTCTCTGTCGACAAATGGTGCGATATCAGTGTATGGGACTCATCAATCTGGTAGGAACTTGGGTCTCGTTGTCTCTGATTGCTTCAGCTGGAATACATGTAAGCTACTGGATATTGAATCCAGGAGATCACAGTTGGAGCAAAAGAAACACCATAATTAATCATAAGTTCGTCCAGTAATTGTGATTGTTGGTCAAGATTCGCCGGTGCAGTCCGACAACCTGGTGCTAGAGCTGGATTACTCTGTCTATTGCAGGTCAGCAAAGCTTCGCACAATATCGTCAGGTGCTGTGATGATTTCTCCTTTGAAACTTCCGATGGCGTCTGTAATGATGCTTAGAAGATTTAAAACAGGTCTCTGCCATCGGAACCATAGTTACCAAGAATATATCAGTTGCTTGTTCTTTGTTATGTGGATTAGGCTGTGCTTGATGGTAAGTTGCAGCATGATTTACTGTAATAGAGCACTATCCCCTCAGCTGCGGCCAGGAGCTCCGTGAATTGTCGCTTACAGGGGGTGGAACACAAACTCTTTCAACATCTGTATTTACTTATTATTTACCCCCTATAATGCTTAAAATATATAACTAGATATAAAAGATCCAGCTGCTCGCCGTCTATATATTCTACTATCAAATTAGCCCGAAAAACGTATTTCGACTATAATAGTACTAGTACTAGTTTATACTAGATATTACGCTCTCAGCGTGAGAAATGATTAGAATAGATTAACTAACAAGGTCTTAATCTAAGTTATTCTAATCAAGAGGACCTCCTAATCATCGTTAATCGCTTAGTTAGCTATATAATCTAATTAAATCGATTATATGAGCCGAACCCTAGGACGGGCGAACCGAGGCCTCGGAGGCTCCTCAGAGGCTACTCGGTAGGTCACGTACTAGCTAAGCGAGAGCCCGTTTCTTGTACTTGTCTTATCTAATCACATTCCTATAGAGTAGGAATAAGTCTAGGTCTAGTTCTATACTATATAATATACTATAAACTAATTAATTTACATTTTCTGCTCTAGAGGAACGTTCCTTGTCCTTAATTATTAAATTATCTATTATATCTTTACTTTCATTTCTCTCTTTATTATTCTTTTAAAGGGGTTTTTAAGTTTATTAGTAGTACTTTAAAATATATACTATTATTCTAATTAATTAGATTAACTAAACGCCTCTTAATCCATTTAATTACCTAAAGTCGCTAATCTAAATCAAATTAATTTAATTATGATTTAGTTGATTACTAATCGATTAATAGAGTAATTCGTTCTTACGCTATACACTCTAAAAAAGAGTATATTAGACCTAATTACTAATAAAATTATAAGAGCGATAATTATATATTAAATCTACTACGTCTATAGTAGACTTGATAATAATAATATATAAAAGAAGGCCGTTGTCTTATTTTTTTGCCAAATATAGTCAAAACTAGTGTGAACACTGGGTCTTATTGGATCGCTTAGAATTCTTGGCAATACGCTTGGGCCACGGAGCTCTTGGCCGCAGCTGAGGGGGTATCATACTGTACAAGGTCAACACCGATAACGAAAACGCCTGCCTGATCCCGGCTTGATCAACACAATTTGTACAGGTACTCCGCGAAGAAATCACTCGATTTACCACGTTAACCATGTATACCTGCGAATAGGTGTCTAAATGTCAAAATCAGAGAGCAAGCACCCTTCAGTCTCATTTCTTTGCATGATTGTATTATCTAGCTGCAAGCACCTCATTTATAGATTGAAACCTTAAACTAGGTACTTGAGTAAGATTACAAGCGACACGAAATAGCAATCTCAAGAACTTTGTAGAATGACCCTCCAATTTTCGGGGCATTCTATGAGGTTGTGTACCATTATTCGAGGATTCGGAAGTGTTAGATTATGTCGGATGAACTAAACCTCAATGCTTCTTTCAAAAATGTGACTTGAAGAGGTTTGATATGAATGAATCAAGGCAATTAGTAAATTGCCTTGTTCGCCAGTATCCCCTGAGATTCTTTTCAAGACCAAAAATAAAAGCAAAAGATATAGTTAGAGAATCTTTAACGCTTCAAAATGGCTGATCAAAATTTCTCTTTCTACGGAATAAACTAAAAGGCACAGCCGAGAGTCCACTCCGTAAAATACATCATTATATCACACCCTTCTCTCTAGCGCTTTGCTTTCTGAAGACGTTCAAACACCACGCTACTTCATCATCTAAGCCTTCACCGCAACGCCAACATGCTCAACTGTTCCCATTCCATCTTTATGCAAATCATCCGGTAAAGTACCTAACGCCCTCTCTCCGAATAACAAATCAATATCCTCAAGGCTGACCTGTTTCGTTTCCTTGAAGAAGAAAAAGATAACCGGGAAGGTGACGACGATGTTAAAGGCGACGAAGATAAAGTAGAACTTCCATCCTGTGTGGGCGAGCCCTATGGGTGAGACTTGTGCCCAGATCGTGGCAACGAGCCAGTTACCGATTCCGGTTGCGAATGCGTTGCCACGGGCGCGTATTTGCATTGGCATTACTCTTTGTATGGTGTTAGGAATATAGACATGTTGAGGGAAGAAGGTGGAGATGGAGAAGTGAAGATGGACTTACTCGGACATGTAAACCCAGGATACTGGACCGAATGAGAAAGAGAATATGATGGTGACGAGGAATATGAAAAACACTCCTGCTATCGAGAGACCACGGTGAGTGCCATCGGTGTTTTGGCTGTTTACTATTCCCTCGCAAAGTAGGACAATCGTGATACCAACGGTGCCGAAGAGGAGTGGCTTCCTTCGGCCAACTCGATCAAGGAGGAAGAATATAAAGATCAAATCTTCCTTATGATTAGCGAGTATTTCCAACACCTATCAAGACAATTCTTACTTGCAATTGGCCCCATAAAGTTATAGATGCCGGAGATCAATAGAGCCTTGTTTCCCTTGAAGCCTAGAGCATCGTACATGATGGTCTGGTAGTAGTTAATGACGTCTGGAACACTATTAGACTGAGAATGAGAAATCCGGCAACAAGAGTAACAAACTGATTCCACTCATTTGCGTGAAGACTTGAACAGCAACACCATGCATTAACCTAGTTCTCCATTGTGGAACGGTAAACATGACACTCCAACCTGGGACGGTTATAGCTTTCTCGGCTGCGATTGTCTGTTTGATTTCCGTAAATTCGGTCATAATCCACTCGTCTGTTGTCTAAATTAGCACAATTTGGTTCCTGAATCCCTGCTGGGGTGGGATACCGTTTGTTCCTTCCGCATGTAGTTTTTTCAATATTCTCATCGCTTCTTCTTCGCGATCGGTCGCCATGAGATGTCGGGGGCTTTCAGGGAAGAAGATCATTCCAACCACCAATATCTAAACCATTGTTAAATTTTCAGGCCTTGAATTGAGGTGACTCCTGGCTTACTAGACATGGTGCGGCTTGAAAGGCGAGAGGAAACCTCCATTGAAACTGGGTATGAGACCCTGCCTGATGAGAACCGTATCCAACCCATGTAGACCTAAAAGACTTAGTGTTCTATAAAGGGGAACTGGAGAAGTAGGGATTTCTTACACGATGAAGCCCATTCCGATCATTTGCTGTGACATGCCCACAATAAAACCTCGAATCTATGGATAATGAGTCTTAGTATACTAGATCTTCACATGTTGGAAAGCCTTCGTATTTACCTTTGGATGGGCGCATTCGCTCTGATATACAGGTACCGACATACTTAAAAGTCCAACTGCCCAACCAGCCATGATTCTTCCAACGAGCATCATAGCCAAGTTAACCGAGGCCGCCTGCAAAATAGCGCCAACCAGGCAAATAAGAGCACCAATCTGAATGGTTATCCTCCTTCCAAACCGATCCATTGTGAGTCCTCCCATGAGTGCGCCAAAGACAGCACCGCCATTGAACGTAGAATTGATCGCTCCGATTATGGACGATTTCGGATTTGTATCGAAGTATTCTAAGAAGTTTTCTGATGCGATAACATCGCTGCATATAGGGTCAGTTCTGCAGTCTTCTAAATATTCGCGAGTATGCAATATCAAATAAATATGCCGAGATTGAACAATCGCATCGTTGCGGTGAAGAAGAGGGATGCACTCACGTCATAACACCAGAATCATATCCAAACAAAAAAGAACTACAGAGAGTCCATTAGCATTCAACTCTATACCTAGTTATTCGAATAAGCTGCCATACCCCGTGGCAGCGAAAATCGCCAGCGAAACGTTGAATATCTTTCCCATAATGCAAGATGAGGTGGATTAGTCAAGTGAGCGAGTTGTAACACAACCTTTCTTGACTTGATTATATATCCTCAAGAAAACATAAGACGATCATTCACTTCCAATAATGTTTTCATGAATTTCACGCACTATACCCAATTGACTCTGGGCCCCTGCCGACCTCGACCCCGGATTTGCTGCATTACCCCGCCATAGCTCCCGGGTAAAAGCAATGAGCAAGGGGGGCTGGTTGGGTGGACTCAGCTTCTCAACCTCAAGAGTGTCGGAAAAATTAGACCGTAGAGATTGTCAGAAAGATGCATGGGAGGAGCGCTAGTGAGGCGGCACGAAGCACAAGAAGAGATAGCTTCGGGTGACGAGTTAAAAGATAATAACCCATGCCTCAAATCTGACCATCTTCCAAAACGTGACTGTTCAGGAGCTCCAGTGACCTCGTGTAGTACAAAAGGAGCAGATGTTCCTTTTCGTACACGAGGAGCATTATAATCGGACCGAGTTCCATCGGAGAATTTTCGATGCTGGGAAACAATGTAGAAACCTGAAAGAGTATTTTACAACAAGCAGGAAATCCAAAACTCAACGCACAATAATAGAGGTTATTGTTTTCAAAGACCGAAAGTTCGTTAGGTAAATGAGCCCCAAAATCCTGAATAATCTTGGAGTGTCGACAAGGTCCGAGGTTGTTTTGAGAAGAAAGCCCAGATCACCAACGCCATGTTGCAATCCTATATCAGTTACCGGCACCTCACCGTCATTTCGAGCCCTGGCTGGATATGATCAGTGAGGCACAGTAAATGGATACAAGACCCAAGAAGGGAGAGGGGTAAAACAACAAAAAGAAAATGATAGCGCCTGAATTGATCGAAGCTATATGAGGACGACCAATGGGTGTCGTTATGAGCTATAACTGTGGTGTTTGGTTTACAACGGGGAAGCTCTTCGTCCCGGAGGAAATATCGGACATCCTCTGCGATGCTCGGGCCGGTGGGGTTCTCCTCGCGTCTTATTAGACCGAGAGGATAAAGGGCATCGTCAGATTTAACCAGACTTCCACTGAGGACCGCACATCATACCACTGTGTCGACTGTCGCCTCCTGCGCCCATACGAGGACACTTGGTCCGAGAACTCCGCACTGCATGTCCTACTTACGACCAACGCCAATAAAGAGATTGGTATTGCAGAAACAATGGATCCTCAAGCTCGTGTTTATCAATCTGGAACCTTATTGTTGGCCGGGTAGTTCTGTGTCTGTCAGCAAAGGGATATCCTGCTTCAATTCAATGACTGGTTTCCTTTTGACCAAGTCCCTTCATTCAAAATATTCACTTTCGTCTTGCCAAATTTCTCAATGTAAAGTCATTCACGAAGACAACAGCTAGCTTCTTTCCCCCCCCCNCATTGATCTGTAACATCGTCTCTCTCCCACTGTCGACTCATACCAGTCTCCACTGCGTATCCACCGCTCCTTTATCACCATGAAGTTTCGTGATGGAATGTGGCTTGCTGCTGAGGGCAAACGTCTTGAGTATGCTGAAGAGGTGTATTCCGTCACCCCTAGTGAGGATGGCAAAGCCATAAGCTTGTTGTGTCCAACCCGAAAGATTATGCAGAGATCAGATATCTTAAATCTGCCTACACTGACTGTAGTATGTAGATCTATATATCGAGAACTAGTAACTGCTGACTTCTCTCCGCAGGATATTGAGGCACCATTCGACGGAGCCATCTCAGTCGAAGTCGCGCATTGGTTGGGAGCTCTCAATCCAGGTCCACACTTCGACCTGTTTCCTCAAGGAAAGCCAGAAAAGAGCGAATCAAAGATTACAACAGCAGAGAAGACCACTACTATATCCTCCGGGTCTATCTCCGCGACTGTAAAGACCGCAGACCATGATTTTGCAATTCGATTCCATGCCACAGATGGCTCAAAAGAGCTCACTTCGTTGCTCAATCGAAGTATTGGTTTTGCGTATGGACCTGCCCCAAGCAACCCAATGCAAACGGCGGACATGCGAAACCTATACCATTATATCTTCACACAAACAACTCTCTCAGTGGGTGAGTCAGTACATGGCCTTGGTGAGCGATTTGGGGCATTCAACAAAGTTGGACAGGCTGTCACGTTGTGGAATGCGGATGGTGGAACCTCCAGTGATCAAGCATACAAGAACGTTCCTCTGTGGATCAGTTCTAGAGGATATGGTATTTTCATCGACACCCCAGACAAAGTAGAGCTCGAGGTTGGTAGTGAGAGATCTTGTCGGGTGCAAACAAGTGTTGAGAGTCAAAGGATCAAGTGGTAAGTATTCCTCGGACCAGCTCCCGAAAATTCCTAACAAATTTAGGTACATTATTCACGGTCCAACACCAAAGGAAATCCTCTATAAGTACTCGATATTGACTGGAAAACCGGGAAAGGTTCCCAGTTGGAGTTATGGCCTTTGGCTTAGTACCAGCTTCACCACCAACTATGACGAGACAACTGTAAACTCTTTCCTTGAAGGGATGAAGGCACGCGATATTCCAGTCGAAGTCTTTCACTTTGATTGCTTCTGGTTGAAGGCTTTTCATTGGTGTGATTTTGTATTTGATTCCAACATGTTCCCAGATCCCAAAGGACAGATTGCTCGTCTAAAATCATCAGGTAAGTTTCCAAACAATACGTGGGAGGCTGCTGGGATGACACTTATGATATCGTAGGACTTGTCAAAAAGGTTTGTGTCTGGATCAACCCGTACCTCGGTCAAGCATCACCTGTCTTCAAACATGCTGCTAGTAAAGGCTACTTACTACGTCGTAAAAATGGGGACATCTTCCAATGGGATTTATGGCAGACCGGTATGGGAATTGTCGATTTTACGAACCCCGAGGCTGTCGAGTGGTACGTTGAATGCTTGAAAGGACTTTTCGACAAAGGCGTGGACGCTATCAAGACAGACTTTGGAGAGAGAATTCCAAGTCAAGATGTCCAATGGCATGACTCTTCGCTTGACCCAAGAAAGATGCACAACTATTATGCCTTCATCTACAACAAAGTCGTATACGAAGCCTTACAGGATCGGTATGGAAAAAACGAAGCTGTATTATTCGCTCGTACAGCAACAGCCGGAACTCAAAGATTTCCGCTTCAATGGGGTGGAGATTGCGAGTCAACCGCAGAGGCAATGGCAGAATCCATTCGAGGCGGTATTTCTCTCGGCCTCTGCGGTTACAGCTATTGGTCCGTAGACATCGGTGGGTTTGAAGGATATCCTCCCCCCTGGATCTACAAAAGATGGGTGGCATTTGGTCTTCTCTGCTCACACAGCCGATTGCATGGCAGTAACTCATTCCGTGTTCCTTGGACGGTTGATAACGATGACAAAAGCGAACAAGGCTGTTCCAGGATCCTTTCAAAATGGACAGTATTAAAAGCTCGTCTCATGCCCTATATCTATTCCCAAGCCCAAGAATCCGCCAACTCGGGACTACCACTTTCCTTGCGCGCAATGTGCTTGGAATTCCCCGACGATCCGACCTCCTGGTTTCTTGATCGCCAATTCATGTTAGGGTCCTCTCTTCTTGTTGCCCCCATCTTTGAGGAATCAGGCCATGTAGAGTTCTACCTCCCAGCCGGGAAATGGACTTCCTTCTTCACCAACGAGACAAGAGAAGGACCGGGATGGTTCAAGGAGACTCATGAGTTTGACACTTTGCCTCTTTACGTCCGCGAAAATACTGTCTTGACTCTAGGCAAACTGGGAGAGACGCAAACAGTTTACGATTATAGTGAGAATACTGAAGTCTGTCTTTATCATACATCTCCTGGTGCAAAAGCCACCATGGTTGATAGCGAGGGAGAAACACTTGGAACATTGGAGGTTGGCGAAAATGGGGATTTGGTTGATGAGAAGCTTCTGAAGGGTTCTTGGGAGATCAGTAAAAGTGGAAGAAGACTTTAGGTGATCAGTCGTCATTGTGGCGTCAGAGAAGGTTTGAGAGGAAGGCTGTCTTGGGATCACAGGAGGTCAAAATTGACGCCGGGTTCTCAAGGTCCGAGGACAGATCATTCCTGGCAAAATTTTGCCGATGGGCGGTAACGAGAACCCGTACCAAGATGCAGGCTGAGCTTATTTTTCTTGACATCAAGAATTCTCGGTTCTCGGCGTCGAGACTTGGTGGTCTCAATCCAACCTCAAGGCTCAAGCTTCAACTTCCATTACTTCTTTGTTTACTCAATTGTATGTACGTATCGCTGTGGAAGCTTTTTTTTACCTCGGTTTCTATTTCATTTAGCGAGCAAGCGAAACTACCAGTCTTTTTCCAAAAATTATCTGTTGGTTCCTGTAGCTTTGATGTTAAAATTATCGAATTAGCTATATACATCTCTATATTCAGAGCCGGGCAGACATGAAGACTAGACTTGTCCTCCATTACTATTTCACCTTACTTTTCACATCCCTAATCCATTTTCCAGTTCAAGTCTAGTCCTAGTCCAAGCCTGTCCTTTCCTTTTCCTCGGCTGTCTCTAAGTAGAGCGCTTAATCCAATTGTCGATATGGGGCTTTTGGAGGCATGGCGGGCACGTCAGGGATTTTACTATCCGCCAAATTCCTCTTCCTCTGATCCCAGGCCCATGATTTGACGGTCCGGAATCGTGCTACGCTTACAATGGTTGACACTGTAGCTATGGAATCTCTCCATGACGCTGGTGCTTTTGCTTCGTCCATTTCAGGCTCAGGCTCGCGTTCTCTTACGGCCAAAGGTGCTGGGGCGAAGGCTGGTTTATTAACGTAGTCTGGCATGGTTGGAGTGGTAACAGTGGGCGGGTAAGTCGTTTGGTTTGTGTAAACCGGGTAGCTTGGGAGGGCGGCCGGGATACCACCTACGTTACCGCTCACAACTGAAGGGGCAGAAGTTTCAGGGACATCAGTAGTCGCTCCGTTCCAAGTCGTCGGCTCTATACCCGAAGAGCCTCGCCCCGCCCCTGCAAACATGATTTCTTCTTTCTCATGCTCTTCGTCTCTCCTCTTTCGAAGCTGCCTTGCCTTTTTGCCAATAAGAAGCCAGGCGAAGAAAATGAGGGCCAGTGAGCCGAAAATTACACCTAAGGTTATCCCAATGGTTCGGGGACGATTATCTTTGCGTGTTACTGTCACGTCTGGTTGACTCTCAGGGGCGGGAGTCGCTTGAATGTTTGGAGCTGCTGTACCTGCTGCAATGGGAGTAGTGGAACTGCCACCAATTCTTTTTCCGGGGCCGGGTTGGGCATTTGCGTCTGGATCTGGGACACCGGCTGGTGTCACCTTTGGAGGAGCTGCTGCTGCTGGGACTTGGGGTGTCGCTTTTGGGATGGGAACTGGAATGGTTGATATCGAGGACAAAAGCGTTGTTGGGGGGGCAACTGATACTGAAGTGGATGTAACTGGAGTTGAGCTTGGTGAAGCGGGCGGTGGGGGTGGAGGTGGAGGTGGGTTTGCCAGTGCAGGGAGCGCAGCCACAGGAGCTGGCGGTGGTGATGGTGTTGCTTTTGCGGTCTCGGGAGTCGATAAAGTGCCCTTGAATGGAGCGTGGGTGATTGGCGTGGCTATGGAGAGTGAGCGACTGGTGCTGGATGAAGGCGTAGTTACTGGAGCTGGCGGCGGTGCTGGCTATTACATTGTCAGCATTAAAGAAAATTTTCAAGCAGGATCATTGAACTTACGGTATTCGCTGGTGGAGGTGGTGGTGGAGGAGGGAGTGGTGGAGGGTCCGATTTAGCTGGCGATTCAGCTCCTTTCCGAGGGGGCGCGTGATTTGGAGCATCAAGCAAAGTCTTCTGTTCGTGATGTTAGATTCGTGCTCTCTCAATCTGCATCAAAAGTCATCTTACGGCTGGTTTTGTCGTCGCTAAGGGGGGCCAGCTTGTTGCTGGTGGAGATACTGCCGGAGGAGAGACGACTGGAGGTGTTGACGGTGGTGGAGGAGGAGGTTTCTTCTTCCCATCGCCTAATTCTGCTTCAGCTTCTGATCCTGTCCCCTCCGCCCACACTCCTCCCTTTTTATTCCCCTTCTTCTTCTCATAGTTCTCATAATCGGTCCTTTCCTCTGATAGCTCACGAGCAGTCGTCCTTCTTCTTCGGTTCTCGAGAAATCGGCGATGTCGTTCCCTTCTTGCCATTGGTGACTCAACCTCCTCTCTCTCCTCTACACTGGCTGCCATTACATTCCGGATGCCTGAACGAGGCGACATGATTTCGGTTCCTTGCTACGGTAGCTGTATCTTTTCGATTGACTCTGTTTTAGTTCTGTATTGCGTATGCAATTCCACTGCAGTATTAAGTCCGATCAGCTCAAAAAATCGGTCTGAGCCTGCAGACTTCTCCAATGTCTGTTACAAGAATGGAAGAAGGGAACAAGAAAAAAATGATAAAAGAAAGAGTGATCCTAGATCATGGACGAAGAAGAGACAGTCCAGCTGTAAAGCAGGAATGCTGTTGTAAAGGGAGAGAAAAGAGAGAAGAAGAAAAGGGCCAAGGGAGTACAAGAATAGGAAAGAGTACTTGAGACGCCGTCGAAGATGCCCCGAAAAGAAGCCCGAAGCAGGCCATCATACTTCGTACTTTGAACGCTCGGCCCCAGAAGATATCATCGGATGTTCAGCCCTCACTTGCCATACCCGGAGGACCCAGAGGCTCGCCGACGATCACGTTTTACACCTGTGGAGGATGGGCAGCGGGAAACCAGAGTTAATGGATGGCTGGAGAGTTCCGTTGACGGTTGGCCATGTTGTTGTTGTTGCGTGGTGTAGGGCCGCTTGCTGAAGAGTCCAAACACCGCCAAGGGTAGGGTGGCCAGGTAGGGTGGCCAAGTATGGAGACACGTGCGAACCGAGGTCTGATACGGATGGGTATTCTGTATCAGAAAACGGGGTCTCCAACGTTTCGTGTTTCCGTAATACCCACCGGCAATCGATGGCTGCAGGTGCAGGTGGTGCTGTGGTGCCATAAGAGTGGGGCAATACCTCATGAGCCTCAAAGTCTTCTTTGCAGCTGATACGAAGTACACAGTAATTCAGAATTTATTCCAATGCCGACATTCCATTGGTCGAAACCAATCTTCGTAGGGCTAAATCGAGATATCCACACCCACATTCGAGAAGAGTCCCAAGTAATGTTTCTTTCCTTGTTTCTTGTCCCATCAGCTGTCTACAAGCTTCATGGAATGTTTGTTTCGTCTAGGTGACTCCGTCTCCACCACCTACCTTTTCTGGTCTGCCAAAAGCCTCAGCTGGTTTCTTACATTTTCGCAGTGGACCATCTCGCTTGGACGCTATGGAACAGATTTCTGTGCAGGAATTTTGTGTGCCATCAACAGTTTGTGTTTGTTGACGCGGCATTATAAACAATGGCTGGAAATCTGCATAATAACTACCAGTATTGACCGGTGCAATCTCATGTGAACGATTGTAAGAAACTTGTACATCCGAGACTTATGGTTCAATAAATAGGTCGCCAACGAGAGTAATTGGTTACAACAAGGTGCCGCCTGAGAGTCCTCTCAATCTCAGCATTAGCAACACAGGTCAAGTAAAGAAGGTGGGCCGGCTCGCTACTCTACCCATGCCACCCTTGCATGACGTGTTACTGGTATAGGAAGGGTTTAACCTCACAATATAACCTTCTAAGCCAAATGAATAGCCCTGTTCATGCGGAAGTATATCAGAAATTGACAAATGGGTGGGAGATGACCCGAATTGTCCACCCTCTTTAGCATACTCGCACAATTACTCGCCCGCTGTCATTGAGAAAATGACGAGTCACAGCTTTCAACGACATCTTCCTAACCCACCGATATGTAGGCTACCGAAACAGAGGTTTTCAATGATTTCGGAGTGCAAAATATACTTCTAAGAATCGGGATTACAGCATTCAAGTGACCCGTAAATCAACCCCGAGCAGCAAAATACATGGACTACCCAGTTTACCAGCTCGAAGCTTTTGAAATTCAAAATAAAATATTCTCCAAACGCATGAAGTCTTATTCGAAATTTCTTGCTTGCCTCACTTCCTCCCACTTGACATCACATCTTACACTTCATAGTTGTGTATAGCTTGAAAAGCCACGAGGTGAAAGCTTTTTAGAACGTTCTAGGTGCATGGCCAAGCTCACTTGGCTCTTGAGGTTTGCCATTAAATTTGGCAACACCAAAAAAGGCTTGCGCTACAGAAAAAACTACTAGAAGTAGCATACTCGATATAAGGATATCCCGGGTTACTTCGTCCCAGGTGTAATACGAGGTAATTTTAGGTTTGCTAGGGTAGCTTCAGTGGAGAGCAGGGTAAACCCCCCTTCAAAGTTACATTTACTTCTATTATGTCTAGGACGAAGTATGACCACTCGAGCGTATCCTTGTATCGAGTTTGATCTGTACCTGTATCAAAGAAAACATCATTTTCCAAAACAAAAGAAAGAGTCAATGAAATGTCTACATACGTAAGCACCAAGTAACTTTTTCACTGCTTCCATCATTGGTTCGGTGGTCCCCTGGTCTATATCAAAATTGTTTCATGTTTTGCTACAGTTTTCACTTCACAAGAACATCACTTTCGGGATTGATTAGCTTCTTTTCAATGGGTAAGGCTGAGGTCTAGATGAAATACATTTCAATGAATGCCTTGGGGGACGGGGAATCTGAAAGAAAACTATCTCTGGCGAGTATCAGGGAGCATCTCGGTAGTAGTCTCACAAGAGGAGTTAAAGGATGTAACAAAAGAATTACCGGGATGAAGCTTTCAATTCTTCCCCCATCTCTTACTTCTGCGTCCTAGTGGAAACTACATCATGTCCTCAAATTTAAACAAGCTTTCCATTCTCCCATCATTTCAATTCCCTTTGCCTTACATTTATTTACAGTATGGATTACACCGGCAAACCCACAAAGCCAAACCCACAAGGTCTCCTACGCTTCAAACCCATTGAAGGTTTCATTATGGAGTTGTAGCTCGGAGTCAAGGGCTACTACGAATTTGCCATTGCCGTACCAGAAGCGAGTACCTACCTCTTAGATAGGTTAATGCGTGGTCCTGATCAGTCCCTTCTCGACACCGAGGGCCAGTGGCACGTTGTGGTGAGGCTGCGGCCATTGAGATTGCCCTTTCCCCCTCATGACTTCCCGTCGTTCCCAACTGGGCCACGTTCGTCAACTCGCCCTCCATACAGATATCTACCCAGGTAAGTGGGAGGTCACGCCCGCCTTTCCTGCGCCAGCATCCACAAGTGGAATTTTGGCAAGCTAAAGAAGGAAGGTACCACTGCTAATCCCTGTCAGAGCTCAAAGGTTAACATCCCACCTACCCCCCCCTCCTCTCCCTATACGCCTGGGGCAGGTATAGGTACCTACTTCGTCCCAGACGAAATAATTGCAGATTTGCTAGGGTGATTAAGGTTGGGAACAGCGTAAACCCCTCTGAAAACCCCACAATTATTTCGCCTGGGAATCTGGGACGAAGTAAGAACCTGGAATCTTCATCGTCAAAAATGTATCGCAGGGGACGACCAACCTATAGAACCTTGATAGTTCAAACTTAAAGCACAGTATTAGGTGTTCAATATTCAGCGTTCAGGGAGCAACCAAGAATGTACTGTATTAGAGAACTGCTGATCACTCTTGACCTTACTTCGTACGAGCAGAATATCCCTGTAGTACTGGAACCGCTTGGATGGTCCATCGTTCCTGTGTAGTAATTCCAGTGCTGTTTTGCACCTTTTGTGTTAACAGAAACTGGAACTCCCACAATTTGAGGGGCCTGGTAAAATTAGCTCAGCTTGTGAAGTTTTGTGCTTACCAAGACAAAAAGACTCAAGTTGGGCTATTGCATTTCAGCCTACTCCTCCTGTACGTGTTTTTTGCAAGACATGAATTCCAAAAGGTATCATAGAGTCCAGGCGCGGTCATATCTACCTAGCACTTATGATTCACCTTCAATAACCTCAAAAGGACTATGAGCACAGCAGCAAACCCTTCCTTCTCGCTCTTCATGGATTTGCACACTTCTTACGGTTCATTGAAGAGTCATTGATTTCCCGGGAGATCTACTGACTGTTCCATGTTAATTAATGGCTTCTAGGGACCATAAAGTTTTTTGCTACCATTTTGAGTTTTATTCCTCCGACGCTGTGGTTTTATCTAAATACGATTTTAAGTTTGTCGTAACCACTTTTACTCCTGGTTCTTGCGTTTATGTTAACGTTAGTACTGCCTTAATAGTCTCGTGGTACCTATAGAGCAAGTTGGCCTGAGCCCCCATAGCGTGTCTAGGAATTACTTTAGCTAGCCAGACCCCCGTTTTGTATTTTTGATATAGGTATACTTCAACGACTCTTTATTCTCGGTCATTATTGCTCAATTAGGAGATCGTAAACTCGAACTCGTAGATGTACTGCGTCAAAGGGATAGTTGAAAGTGATGGCAGAATAGGATATGTAGTAGTATATTCAGTAATGGAAAACTCTGAAAGTTGGTTACATACTTATAGCGAATATCTCAGCTAAGTTTGACATAGAACCGAAGGGTATAATGGCATTAATGACCTGCGTTGAACAAGTAATGAAAGAACTTTAGTAGCATGCGTACTTGCTATCAAGAATACCTACGTAGTCACTAAAGTTTTAACTCTGTCTAAGTACCGGGGACAAGACCCAACACAGACCAACCTAGACAATACTTGCAGGTGCTTTTTATTACTGCGTACTCGTAGCATCCGGTGCAATCATCAGACTTACCAATCTCCTACTACCTATCTTATACTAACACTGAACACTTACTCCGTACTTAATATCGAGTAGCTTGGATTAGCTTGGAAACTCCTCCCTTCTCAGAAAAAGCAAATACATATCTAATAAGAAGGCTCTTTTGGAGTAGCCCAAGATCTTCGTTGATTTGATATTTTGATGAGTGTCAAAACATGGAGATAGCATTCTCTTCAGTTCTGCCTGTTAAACATAAATACATAGGAGCTTACCTATATGTCATTCACTGTACGATGAATCGATGATGGAAATACCTAGGTCTGTATTATTTTCTCTGATCTATATTAGATTGTAACAAAAGTTCGCAACCAACATGAACTGGACAAGATTGCTTCGAATCAATAATGTTAGATGATTATTAAAGTTTCTAGCAAATATCCGTCAAATTTTGCTCTTCAGGAGAATGTCGAGAGAAGAAACATTTGGTACGTACTTAAGGTGTAATCTTAGGGAGGTACCCACACAATTACAGACCAACGCCCTTGAAAGCTCCAAGTATACCACCGACCACTACTCATTTGTAAGAATATTGCCTATCTGGCTCAGTAGGACACCAAGACAAGCGACCGTACACACTACTTTGATAGATCGGCAGTGCCTGTCAGCTAAGAAAGGAATAGCGCAGGATTGATAACTTAATATAAAAACTTAGTACGTCTAGTTTACGCTCCCTAGCGGCGCTGAGAGGCATTAGGGTTGTTTTTGAGGTTTTTTGTTCGTTTATGGGGGTTATTTGGACATTTTGGGGATTCTTTATTGTGTAAGTTTAAGCTCTGAAAAACTTCATCGCCGGTTTTATGGGAATCCCTTTGTAAATCCATTATCCAGTTAAAATCAGCAAATTGCTTCCTCTTTCAGCAGGTGATACGCATCACGCCGCCAACTTACAAATGTACTCCTGGTGTCAACAATCCCCTACGAATACGAAGATACACGCAGCATTTCTTCCATGTTCAAGATTCTATTCTCTAAGCAAAGAATTAACTGAAAGGGAATTTCCAGTTCATCGCGGTCGATATTCAAATTATACGTTATCTCCTCAAGAAAGGAAATCGAGCCTAAAACCATCCATTGCCATTGTATGTGATGTATAAGCTAA